CAATTTGCAAAACAGACCACAACTCAGACCTATAAATAATAATCGCAACTATTTATTGACTCAAAAGTTCAACGCTTTCGAGGGCTAACTGTTTGCCGACTTTTGGTGTCGTTTTTGGCGGAAATTTATCCATTATTTGCTGAAAAGTGTTTTATCGTTAAAAATGTGCACAAATTGACAAATATTTGACTCAAATATCAAATGAATTCTCATTAAAAAAAATTATGAATTTCTATGAGATTTGGTTTTCATTGAGTTTTTCATAATCTCTTTGGAGATAAAGATCTCTTCAAAAGAAGAGTTCAAACGCGGAAAAAGACATTAAAATAAATATGATTTCAAAGTTTATGCGAAACGAGAGACAAAAAAAATTTGACAAAAAACTCAAACTTTTGATGAAATCTTTTGAATTGCATTTTAAATTGGACTCAAATTTCAAGTGTATTTCGTTTCCGTTTCTCTCGATTTCAATGCATTTAACGCTACTTTCGGCACATTTGAGACCAATTTCGGCGACAAATCGGTCAAAGAGTATGAAAAAGTGTCGAAAAAGTGTCGAAAAAGTGGTGTCTTTAGGCGTTGAGGACACGAACAGAGATGAGGACATCCGGAGACGACAGGAAGCACTGGAAGTGTTGACGTAATTGATGTTCAAATCAAACATTAAAACCAAATGTTGAGAAGAAGTGGTGTTTTTGGTCTCAAATTTGTCAAACATTTGGTTTTTGAACTCAAAGCCAACAAAACTCTAACAAAACAATCGCTTATAAACTGTCGACAACTCATTACTCACAGTTCCCTTTGGAAGAGAGGAATTGTAGAGTGAATTGAGGGACAGAGAGACCGACCTCTGGAGCGAATCCGAGCGACAGATAGTGTTTGTCGAGAGAATAGAGTCTTTGCTTAACGTTTTGCCAAATGAAGGCAAGTTCCTTCTCGTTGTCTTTGAAGGCCTTCGAGTTGATGACCAGCGCTTCCAACTTGTTTTGCGGCAAATCGGGAGTGAATTTCGAGTCACCGAAAGAGCGATAGTTTCCCATATTTGACAAAAACGCCGACAAATACACTAATAAAGCCTTTCAGCCGAAGAATAGCGATATTTAGTGGAGTTTCGAGAGATAATTGAGTGAAGAATACCCGCCACTCGTTGTCATCGAAATGGGCGACACTTTGGGCCAAATGTTGCAACTCTTCGATGGTTTGGGCGCCGAATATGCGGCGAAAGAGAGTGAATATAAGCGGCGATTCGGGAGACGTCTGAAGACATGGAACAGAGTTTAGAAGAGATTTGCGGTGAAGACAAGTATTGAGACCTGAAATAAGCAGACAAGAGATCCAAACCACGAACTCTTGGAGAGATAGTGGGCGTAGAGCTTCTCGTCGGCCGTCAGACCGTTGAACGCGTTCTCGGCGTCCAATTCAATCACTTATCATGTAATCATATAAAGGCATTAATTTACGGCAATAATTTGGGCCCTTATTACACAACTAGAGCACTGCATAGCATGGCTGCTCATAGCATAAAAGGGACCGAATGTGCGCTAAAGTTTTGTGACTATTGAAGCGACGATTGCATACCCGGTGTGTCATTCGTGTAGATGTACTCCGAAGACATGGCAATGGATTTGCTTTGACTGAAGACCTGTTGAGTGACAATCGCTGGCGAGGACTGGGAGTGAGTAATGAGTTGTCGACAGTTTATAAGCGATTGTTTTGTTAGAGTTTTGTTGGCTTTGAGTTCAAAAACCAAATGTTTGACAAATTTGAGACCAAAAACACCACTTCTTCTCAACATTTGGTTTAGTGAGTAATGAGTTGTCGACAGTTTATAAGCGATTGTTTTGTTAGAGTTTTGTTGGCTTTGAGTTCAAAAACCAAATGTTTGACAAATTTGAGACCAAAAACACCACTTCTTCTCAACATTTGGTTTAATGTTTGATTTGAACATCAATTACGTCAACACTTCCAGTGCTTCCTGTCGTCTCCGGATGTCCTCATCTCTGTCCTCAACGCCTAAAAGACACCACTTTTTCGACACTTTTTCATCGATTTTGACCGATTTGTCGCCGAAATTGGTCTCAAATGTGGCGAAAGTAGCGTTAAATGCATTGAAATCGAGAGAAACGGAAACGAAATTCACTTGAAATTTGAGTCCAATTTTAAATGCAATTCAAAAGATTTCATCAAAAGTTTGAGTTTTTTGTAAAATTTTTTTTGTCTCTCGTTTCGCATAAACTTTGAAATGATATTTATTTTAATGTCTTTTTCCGCGTTTGAACTCTTCTTTTGAAGAGATCTTTATCTCCAAAAAGATTATCAAAAACTCAATGAAAACCAAATCTCATAGAAATTCATTAATTTTTTTTAATGAGAATTCATTTGATATTTGAGTCAAATATTTGTCAATTTGTGCACATTTTTAACGATAAAACACTTTTCAGCAAATAATGGAAAAATTTCCGCCAAAAACGACACCAAAAGTCGGCAAACAGTTAGCCCTCGAAAGCGTTGAACTTTTGAGTCAATAAATAGTTGCGATTATTATTTATAGGTCTGAGTTGTGGTCTGTTTTGCAAATTGTCTGCATTTCTAACGAGACGTGACTTTCATTTGAACGCAATTACAGACAAACTCTGCTTTCAATACAAATGACTCGCAATTAAAAAGCGATAAAACACTCATTAATGAACACAATTTGACCCAATTTTTCATCATTACTGCTATTCTCGGCCCAAAACATACGCGAAGAGAGAGGCATTCAGTGATTCACACATTCATTCAAATCGGGGACAGACTGTCAGTGAGACTGTTGTAAGCCTTCGGCCAAAACTCAGTTCAAAACGAGAGACAACTTTTGAGATCATAAGTCGAGAGAAAGTTTCGAAAAGTGTTTCACTTTTTCGTCAAAAATGAGAGCATTTTTCGTCGCAATCGTTGCCTTCAATGTCTTCGCGGCCGCCGTTTGCCATCAGTTGTATCTTCCGCTCGAAGAGTCGTCTCGTTTTGGACAGGGATTCGGCGGAAACGGCGGGATTGGCATCCGATCGGACGGTCGCACTCTCGCTACGGTCTACGGGCGGCCGTCGGCTCGGCTGCGGACGTTTGTGCGACCGATGGGCCGATTCGGCGGACGGTATGTCTGGGGCTCTACTTATGGCAGCGATTACTGAATGAAAAGAAAATTTTCTTTCGATTTTAATTCAAATATTTTTATTCAATCATATATTACAGCGTTTTGTGGAAAATATTTATAAAATAAAGTAAAATTAAAAACCGAAATAAAAGCGATTTTTCTGCTATTCTTCACAATTGAATGCAATTATTGTCAGATTTTTGTTTCGTTTTTTACACAACAAATCAAATAATGATTTTTCGTTTCATTAATTACATATAATATAAATATTCATCGCTTTTCCGACAAGTATTTCGTCGAAAACTTTGTATTCAATGTATAAAACACTGAAATCCCTAATAATTGCGAGAAAACAGAACCGAATCTCTCTTTAGAAAACTTTTTAATCTTTTTATGATTTCTTATGTATTTTTTGCAATATTTATATAAGAATTGAATTATTTTTTGTCGAATTTCTTCTTTGTTTACATAATTGTAGTCTAAATACGAAATATTATTGAAAAACAAAAAAAGTTTAATATTTATAATAATTATAATAATATAAGAACTAAGAGTTGGACAGTCGCTGGCGTTTGGCTGATATATGCTCGGAGTCCGAGTCCGAGTCGTCACCGGATTCTTCGTCCGAGTCCTCATCCGGTTGAATGTCGTAATCGACTAAACCCTGCGATCGAGAGAAAGGCAATGAAAAGAGTGGAAAGACTCACTCGAGACTCACTTTTCGCGAAGACGTGATGTCAGTGGGCGATGACTGAGATGTGGGTGTAGTGGTGGGCGCCCTCCGGGGGGTCGATGGACGTAATGTGCTTTTTGTCGAACTATTGTCTAATTCGTATGATTTCTTCACGGAGTCGATGTCCTGATAGGAGAGGCCTTCGAGAGAGAGCGGGGGTTAGGGTTAGGGGTCATGTGACACACAATGAGCGGAAATACCGAGGTTTTTGCGTTCGAGCGCCTTCTTGTTGAACTGGTCGTACTCGGCCTCCAACTTGTAGTTCAAGGAGTCGGCGAGAGAGGCGTCGCAGTCGTCGATGTCCTCCTCGTCGTTGTTGAACCACATCTCCTCCTCGTCGTCCAGATCGCGCGGATCGCGACGGAAGCGCCGCGACAGCAGAACGGAGTTCCTGTGGAGGGAAAGGCACGGATTGTAGACGGGGCACAGGTAGGCAGTCACTCACGTGTCGATCTGTTTGTCCTTGAGCCTGTCCTGGTGCTGTTCGTACTGCAAGTGCAGCGCTTTGAAAGTGCGGACGTAATCAATGGCTTCCAACTGCTTCCAGAACTTCTCCATTATGTAAACGCAAAGGCTTTTGATTTCTTCGGCGCGAATGAACTCAAAGAGCTCGACGACCGCGGAGTCCAAGAGGTTGTAGCGGCCGTTGTTTTGCAGCAGACGCTCGACTACCGGCGCCATCAGATTGCCGTGAATGATGTGGCGGTTGTAGAACTCGTCTTTGAGGCCAATGAGTTTGCGCAGAAATCGCAGAGCGGCTGACGGGAGACACGAGAGAGAGAGTGAGTCCAGAGATGATACACAAGAAGACAAGGCTTACTGAGAACGAGGAATGTGTGTCTGGAGTGGATGAGGAGGAGGATGCGGCGCAGGAGTTCGCGGTGGAGGATGTAGTTGCGGATGTGATAGGCGTGATGCTCCACACAGAAGGCCAGCAGTTCCAGAATGATGGACAGCAGTTGCGCTGACTGTCCGCTCTGTTGGGAGGACAGGCGCGCCACCACCTTGTCGTCGCACGTGGAGGCGAGCACAGGGGCGATGAGCACATGCATGCAGTGCTTGTAGAAGTAGTTGAGGAAATCCGTCTTTTCCGACTTCTGCGGAGAGAGAGAGTGAGCGGTCGGCCGGTTGGGAAATGGACTCACGTTGACGACAGTGGCGGCCAACATGTTCTCGGGGTCGACGAGGAGTTTGACGATTCCGGACAACTGAGTGGCCATTCCGAGGTCGGGGTCGGAGTCGCAAATCATTTGCTCGATTATGATGTTCACAACGAACTGCTCCTGAAATGGAAGGCAGGGGTAAGTGACCTGTGAGTGGGGTTCGAGACGCGGGTCACTGACCTCGTCCTGAGAGGACTCCTGTTGCAGCGCATACTCCCTGACCATTGAAGGCGAGTATTCGACGACATAAGTAAGTATATCAACGGAAGCCAATTTGATGGTCAAGTNAAATGATGGCAAATGAAATACATTTTAAACACAAAAAGTGATAATTTTAATATTTTTATTAGCTGTCAATAATTTGTCAGTTACATGTTTGAATTGATAATTACTAATGATAATGAAACTGAAATATACAATGAAAATCAAGATTTTCTTTAAATTTAATTATCTTTGAATAAAACAAAATAATCAAAAATAAGTGTAACTGTAATACAGTTTAATACAGTAATTTGGACTCTACTATACAATTTCTGCATTAATTCAAGTTTTTGATATAATCGTATTTTTATAACTTTGGTCTAAATCTAATTCAGAAATTCAGATAATTCGATTCGGTTTTAGACATCATTTGAAATATTTATATATCTTTTGCATCTTTATGTTAGATATTCTGCATAATTTTTATTTCAATCGATTGTCTAATAGCTGTGAAATGTAATAAACTCGCAACTATTGTAACTATTAGTTAAGCTTGTGTCTTATGTTTTGAGTATTTTACTGAAATTGTAAGCGTTATTAGAAGTGCTTAAATTCTATATAAATACTAAATAATTTGTTAGTAAATCTCTAATACATTTGATAACAACTTATTGATAGCTCATAATATTGATTGGCAAATATTTTAATCGTATGTTTTATAACAGTTGAAAACTTTTCAAACTTATGAAAGGATCGACAAATTTATGTAAATATCTGGTTTATTTCATTTAGAAATTCTTTGATTTCATTGGTTTTAAGTCGATTTTCTTTTATATACTATTCATTTGAAGTTTGTTCATAGTTTTGTATAAACATAAGAAATTTACATTTATTGCAAAGAATGGATCACTTGAAAGGAGTCAAAAACTTAGACAACCTGTCGCTTGTAATTCATGGCCCGGGAAACCTAAAACTGGAACAAACGCCTATTAAAGAGCATTTAGAGGATAATGGTAATCAATGGCACATTCATTGAGTCAATGTATTAATTCTTTGAATTTCATTTTTAGAATGCCTTCTCGAAACACACAGGTACAGTATGTTTTGCAGTTGCAACACTATCAATTTAACATTTTGAGCTAGATAATATTGAACATTTATGAGAACATTTAAGTTAGAATTGAAGGGAAAATTATAATAATACTGTATTACAATTATATTATATTTAGTACTGTAAGAATACGCATAGTAAATTTAGAATATTAATGAAATGTTTGATTGGAAAAGTTGTGGATTATGTGGAACTGACATCCACCTAATGGACGATGGTCGTATGGCAGACTTTATTGTTAAGGAGCCTCTGGTGATAGGACATGAGACTTCTGCCCGAGTCATAGCCGTTGGCAAAGACGTAACAAACTTGAAAGTTGGAGACCGAGTGGCCGTCGAAGGAGCCATTCCCTGTCAGAAGTGCGAGTACTGTCGCGACGGAAAATACAATTTGTGTCCCATTTCTAACACTCAGGCCAGGGGTCTGCCGCCAAAGCATGGATGTCTTCGACGCTATTACGCACATCCGTCCGATTTCTTATTCAAG